GAATTATTGGCTAGGAAACTGAAAAAGAAACGAATTAATCTTTTTTATCCATCGCAGGATAGAAACCGTCTAATTTTCTGTTACACATTTACATAATTCCATTAACTACCGAAGGGAAAATTGAATGTTACAGGAAAGTGATTAAACGAACGAGTCTGCATATTCTGTTAAATTGTCTACAACATGTAAATTAGAAATTCACTTGTAGGATATTACAAAGAGTATGAAATAATTTAAGAATCATTTCGATGGGAACATTGAACCGCGTGTACCATATTCGAGAAAGAATTCCGCTTTCTAATTCCTTAATTGATCCAATTCCGCGGTTTGAATTTCTTACGAAGTTACCAGTTTGGAACGAATCATCCGGTAATAATATGGATTCGGTTGGCAAGACCAGATTACAAGAAACTTTCAATTTCGATCCCAGAGGACTGAACGGATACCGGAAACTTTCGTTCTCGATACTATGGTTTTGAACGTCGATCTTTCGTGTAATGAAAAAATCGTGCGCGCACATCTTTCGGCATCTCCATGGTTTTGGTTTAGAATTATATGGTTTATTTTTTTAGTATTAATGATTTATTTTTTCTTACTACCACTGGTTAATTTTTTTTATTATTAATGGCTCATTTTGTACCATCATGAGTTTGTTATTTATTTCATTTTTATATCCGTCACTAAAATTAACCCTATCTAACACTAGGTTTACGGAACGTATCAGTTCGACGCATATCGAATTTATTAAACATCATTTAGTGAACGTTTACATGGATTTTCATTGTTGCGATTGCACGAATACGTGAAAACTTTAATCGTATACTCTTAAATCCCTAATTTCCAAAATCTAAATGAATGAACATTCATTCTTTTAGAAAGCACAGAATAAACTTTACAATAAATGTCCGTAAACCTAGTGGTAAGCAAACATTAGTGTTGCAATACTTTTGCTAAAATTCTTTATTTTTGAAACAAAAAATCGAAGTACTAGTGTTAATGAAATGGAAATTCAATGTAAGTCAGATTTTCAAGGGAACGAAGCAATTTTGACAATTTTCAGGGACCCAAAGCAATTCTGTCAAATTTTCACGAGAATAAAGCAATTTTGGACAAATTTTAATTTATGTACGTCTTTAATTGACAAGATATTACACAAAAAGTTTTATATCAATCCTCGTAATAAAAAAAATATTGTTGTTTTATTTTGACATAAATAATGAATCCTTTGTACAATTTTATACAAAAATATTTATATTATATAACATTTATTAATTTGATATAAAACAACAATATTTTATACCTTTTTTTTAGTGTGAAGCATTCGAGGACTTCATTTTTTGAGAAAGAATTTAGAAACTTATTTTGTAATAATTTATGCAACATGGTTCCTTAATTACATGTTAAACTATGTATCATATATACAGTATATGATGTGGTGAAATGATTTATAACGCAACTAATAATTTCCTGGTATTTCAATATGTAACATCGTGCAATAAAAATGACTGTACACATACTTTTAAGAAATGCTGCATATTTAACAATAATACTTGATTAATATTCAGAATTTCAGTTACTGTTGTAATGTTTTGCAAATATTAAATAGTTTTAACACAAAAGTATCAGAAAATGGCAATTTAAATAAACAAGTATCTTCTAAAAGTATTTCATGTCCTATTATCTCGTGTCATTTGAATTTATGTAACATTTTAGTGCTATCGAGTTCTTGTAACTTTGTTAAAGATAAATACATTAATCTTTTCTACACGCTCTGTCGATTTGGAATTATAATTGCAAAATTTCTAAGCATAAGCAAAATAAATTGCCATACATTTGACCTGACAGGTGTGAAATAATAGTGATACATATCAAAGTCTTTCTATTTTCTGTTCTTGAGCAATTAACTACATAGGTAGGTGAATACCTGTTTCCTTCCTATTAATAGGATTAGAGTGTGAAAAGAAGAGATCATGAAACTATAAAAAAGTGAACTAATATTTGTTACTTCTTTCTGATTAAAAAAGAGTTCATGCAATGAAAATAAAACGCATATATAAAGGAATCTATTCACATTAATTATGTATCTAATGTTTCATATGACACATTGTAATGAATTAAAAGAAAATAATTAAAAATTCATCTTTTTCAGAAAGTACACTAGTACATACATAATACTATGCAATAAATGTTTATATCTTATGTAATTGAATTTCACATTTGACAAAATTTTATTTATATTTATATTAATATCTATGTAATCTCAAATAACTAAATAACTGCGTTTTGTTTGAACAAAATAATAAGTTACTGTGGAATCGATATCAAAATAAGATATAATTACAATATAGATTTTAATATCCATATTAAAAATATAACATTAAATGTCTAATATATTTGAAAACAATTCTTATTTGTCGCTTTACTTTATACGTATCTCACGTATTATTATAGATTAAAATAAATCCTATAATTCATCAATTACAATTAAACACTTCATTGATCAGTTGGATTAGTTATATCACTATAGAATTGGAAATATCGCATTCCAGTACAACCAAAATTATCAGTATCAATTATCCAAATAAACCGCAATTTTTTAAATTACCTAAAGAAATAAGGCTTTAAATAAAACATTTGTTAATCCTGCCGAAACTAACTATTTCATAAATTCCATAAACCGTTACAATTATATCCTTAACAAGCAGTGAATGAACACAATTTGTATTATTCAAGAACGAATGCACATTACACGTGTGGTGCAAACGTGAAATCAATGAGATGTAATGTATCGTGTGATCGCGAAAGTAAAACTTGGGAAAAAGTTATTCTGCTTTTCCACGGGAGTAAGTGGATTCTTGAGTGCATCAAACGATGTAACGTTCAGAGGAACGATAAATCTGTATTGTCAAGACAAGTGTTACGGTTAAGTTACAGTCCGGTACAGTGCAGTAACTCTAACAGTACTTCGTGCCAGCACAGTTCGTGCAGTCTCCTCGATTGGCAATCTTCGGATCACGGTATCGCCACGGAACAGGATGCAATGGAGACTTCAATGCTCTCTTCAACGGAAACCTACTTATGCAAATATATACTTCTCGTAGTTACATTCGCGTCGAAGTTATGACGAAACGTTCCTTTATAGTAATTTAATTTATAGATTATTTATTTATAATAAAAATATTTATTCACAAGAATTAGTAATTTAATTTATAGAGCATTCATTTATAATAATATTCAATTACGAGAGTTAGTAATTTAATTTATATGTTATTAGCTTATGATAAAAATATTTATTCACAAGAATTGGTAATTTAATTTATAGACTACTTATTTATAAGAATGTTATTTATTTATAGGAATGACTGATTATTTCTGCAATTGCTTGCATTTTGGGAAAAGTAAATAATATTATCAAAAATTTAGAGCAATGTTTGAATATACAAAATGCAGCATATGAAGATATCTACGGCAGTGTGTTTTGAATACTATGAGGTCACAAAACATTCTTTACTTATGAAATATTAAAATCAATAAGGCCATACAGCAAACAACAAAAAATCTATACGTATATTCCTTATTAGAAATTAGAAATTACATAAAACATTAATTACAGAGATCGTAAAACATCAGTTAATAAACATTGCTTTCATTATAAAATAATTAAACTTAGAATAATTTGTATAAAAATATAATAGCGTACTTGTACTTATTACTGTATTTGTATTAATTACAGATTAAAGAAGTAATTGATGTAATACTTGATAATTGGTGTCTATGTAATAAATCTCTACTGTACCATAAAACATTATGAATATGTATATTAAAATCTAAATCAATATAAGTACATATATGTATATGTATGTATATAGTAAAATAAATTACTATTTTATCGACCATCTGAAAATATGAATATTGCATAATAACCACTGTTTATTCAAATGTATGAATGCTAAATATTAATTGTCGATATCACCGATGCTTGCACATTTTTAGTTTAGACAGATTCTAAAAGTAAAATAAGGGTTGATAATGAATTTAAAATAAAAACTGCATTCGGTTCAGTGCCTGCCTTGTTGACCTACTTCCACCAACCGAGCAGGATTTTGATTTAATTGATAATTGAATTTTTTTCAATTAATCAATGTGACTATACGTCTGCATAAACTTTTTGTATCAAGTAAACAACTGAGAAATGTTTATTCTTTAAACTTATCTTATGAGTGTGTGTCTGATCATCTGTCACCAATTCTAGTTTAAAGGTTTTATATTTATTAGACAAGTTACTGAATGTAACAAATAAATATTAACAAATGAATTAATGACTAAAATAATTTAACTAATTAAAAAGTATTTAAATAATACTTTAGTTTGAAATAAAATAATAACAAATGATTCATTATTTCACTCCCTTTTATTTGACTTTTTGAAAAGTTTAACAGTGTTTTAAGAATCTTGTCAAGATACTTATTTTTTTCAATTCTCATCGATTCATGTGAAGATATTATTATTTAAAACTTATAAAAATATCGTTGATATTAACTTATAAAAATTCTTCTTCATTCGAAGAATACTCATATCTTAATTTTACGAAATAATTATAACTAATTATTATTAATCGCAAATACATCTGTTAAATGTTCTAACCAAGTAGAAATAATATTAGATTATCGAATAGGATATATTTAATTATATCAAACAATTTAATATTTGTACATTTTTAAAACGTTAATCACAATTGACTGCTACCAAATATTTCGAAATGTATTTTCGAATTTCACTAAAAATAAAAATAAACTGCTATGTGATTTTAAAATAAATTTCTCTTCTATGATTTTGAACATGTTGAGCTTTTCATTTCATTTCTTACACCGTTTGGTTAAAGCAATAATGGTCGGCAACCTTGACCATGGATATATTCCAGGGATGTGTATAAAATGCACATACGATATAATGGATTATGCAAATCGATCGGTAAATACTGGTTTTTAATGTATTCTTACCTATGCATACTCTTAATGCGGGAGGTAATCTTCTTCCTCGAGTCATCTCAACGTTCGTTAGACCTCCTCGCGAAATCTGCAACGATAATGATATTCTGAATTACAACTTCATTCGACATACCATTCCTATCGTTCAATTCTGTGCACTCGTATGTCATGCTGGTAATGACAATACAAATTTGTTATAGAACGTTGGAGACTGTTTTAAAAAGTACCACACTTTAAAAGATTATACAAATTAAATCTTATTATAATGACAGTAATTAACCCCCTGTTTTGTGATTTACATCGTCTTGAACGTTCTTGCTTAGGCTAATTAATTTTGTCCCAACACCGTGGACAACTGTTATAGAAAGATCTGATATATTACAGCCTCGTTTATGTTTATTTATGAGAAATGAATTATTTTGGTTACGATACGGCAGATTTATAAAATAATTTACAACATCAACAACAGAGAACACATGCGGACAAGACTCGTCAATTCCACGCTAGGGGTCAAAATAATTATAAACGTTGAATTCTGCCGCTGTAAGCTACTTTAATTAATTTCTCGAAAAATAAATACAAGTTTACATCCAACAACATTGAAAATAAATCGAGTGGAAAGGTATAACTGTAAAAAATGAAGGAAATGGTTTTAGAGAAAAAATTTAGAAATAAATATAAAGTTTGATATCTGACGTCAAATGATTCTCTGTTTTGCGAAGATTTTCTCAATTACAAATAAAGTTTGCGTTGTTGTTGAGTGTAGTCATACGAATATGGTTTCCCTTATCGTACGGTGTAATCTTATCGTCTAATTAGATTTTCCTTTAGATCCTTAGTTGTCCAAATTAATTGTAAAGTGTTATATAATAGCTATTGTTTAGTAATACTAGCATGACATGCATTTAACAAATTGTAGAACTGTATCTACAATCAGGAATACATAATTATTCGAATAAATTTTTATTTCATTAATTATTTACTTAACAAAACTTGACATTTATCGGTACTTCACTTTTAAAGAGGAATAGCATATTATTTTTAAATTATTTAGTACATAATTTTTAAGTACGAATAATGTGTGTTGGAAATGATATAAATTAAGAAAAATCGTAGTATGCTCTTTGAAACTATCACTGATTAGAAATTTTATTACGTTAATAAGTATGAAAAATTAAAATCAAGTATATGACTTGTGATTGTATATTTCGGAAATTATATTTTAAAATAACGTAAATAGCCCTGTTATACTCTCCGTATGTGGGTTTATAGTGGTTCCAAAGACCAAGTTTCTAATCCTTTTTTATTGTTGACCTGGCCTTCCACTTTTTTCCACAATTTTATTACAGTGTCATTTATTTCCTCTTTGAATATTTTCTACCTCTGCGTCACATGCTCGTAGAATTGCTTATTGCTTTTATGATAATGATCCAACAGTTTCCTTCTAATTTATTTCCCTGAGTTTAGTATTAGGTATCTCTCAAATGTATTTTCATCCTTATGAATAATTTGAAAGGAGATCTTCTTCTGATACGTAAAATACTAGGAAATTAAACTAATACAATTCATTTGGTAATTACTTAAGGTAATTAATGTAATCCCTGTGTTAATATATTTATTATAATATTTATTTAACTACTTCATGTAATTTATGTAATAATACTATACCAATTATATCAAGTAATTAAATAATTAGTCGATACTGATATCTTTGATCCACATATTATTATTTAAAAAACACCTCGACATGGTCCGAGCAGAGTTTAGTCAGCGTAGAAATAGGTATCAGATTGCTGCGCTCTACTTATCTACAATGTCGATCTTCATTGGCAGATGCTCTGTATTTTCATCATTACAGACTTTTACAATTATATATGTGCAGTATCGTTAATTTAATTACAATTGTACCTACAGTCACGATATTTTCTGAATATAATCATCATGTGGTAAGGCTTCGTTTACCATAGACAAAGTTTGATAAGTAGACTCACTGATAAGTAAATTGCAGATTTTTATAGAAATTCAAACTTTAAAGAACGTAATTAGAATATTAAAATTATGTTCAACAATGTTTTTTTTCTGTGAAACATTATAAGGAACACTTTAACACTTTCAGATCTTGAACTTATTAACAAATACAATAAGTAGTCACAGAACTGAGGAAAGTTAGAATTTTATTTTCTTCCCGCAATTAAGTTTTTGTCTTAATCGTTTCTGCGAGTTTTTGCGAGTTGTCAGTGCATTAAGGTTGGTAGTATACTAATTTGACTTGCAAATCTGGGGTAAAATTCCCTTCTCATTATCCTTCTCTTCTGCTTTCAACCGCCAAAGGACTCATTTAATCAGGAAAACATCCCCGAGCGAATGGTACCGTTTTCACAGCAATCAGCATGACTTATAAAACAATTTGATTGAAATATATATATATACTCATATATTTATTTATTAATGTAAAAATATAAAATAATTTGATGTTCATGAAAAAGTAGTGTTTGTCACGATTGCAGTGTCATCTACTTAACTCGCTTTTTCCACGTCATCGATAGTTACTAAATCTTTATTGAAATTTCCATTTACACAAACCATTATAAAATTCAGAATGAGGAAACAATTCTTTTATCGATTAGAAGATTCTTTGTGATAAATGTGAAATTAAAATGCTATTCAGTACTTCCTAAAATATTTATTATTGTTTATTCATTAGTTTATTTAATATCTTTTAAGTACACATTAACTTGCATTAGGTATATTTTCAAATAACATAAGCACACTAGAATTAGTTTAAAACTGTCAAAATAAAAGGTTTCAGTTTTCTTATTTTGCAATTATTAATACCTCGAAAGTATTAAATACCCAAAATTATTTTAAAAACGAATAGCTTCACTTGAATACTATAATAAATATATGAAAAGGAATATTATTACAATTTTTATAAGAATTATATCTTGATCATATTAAACGTTCGGTAGTTTTAGTGATAAGACCTCAGTTTTCCATGTAATCATTAATAGATTGCGAATTATTGTGTAAACATTTTTAACACGGACTGCTGTATAAGATCTAGGAATATATCAATTTTAGTAAATTAGAACATAGATTATTCAGGATAATATTAAATATCTCTTCCACCTAACATAAGGAAATATTAAAGAGCCTACCCAGGCGGGAAAAACAACAGAATAATTAAAAGTGAACACGTGAGATGGTTCATCTTGCATATCTCCGTGCATATATCAAGCATATTAATACTTTATCTACCGGAAGCTTATTAACAGATTCCTTAATGGTTGTGCTACATTGGAAAGAAGTTCATAGTTTCCTTTTAAATAATAATTTTCAAAAAATGATTCGTTATATTATTTAATACTGTTTAAGACAATTGTAATCGGTGGAGTGCGGATTTTTAAGAATATTATTAGAAAAATCATATTATGATAGAACATGTTTTTTCATAAGAAATATTGTAAAAAGCACTATAATTTGCATATTTTATATACGTTTTTATAATACGTGTACATTCTATGCAATTTTGCATGTTTAAATTTCCTATAAATGTTTAAAAATCCTCAGTATAGTAATTCTTCTTGTAACTAGAAAATTGATAAAGTGGTTCTCAGTTTTTAATTATTGATTCCTAGAACTAGTTTTATCGAA